TTAGATTTCTGTGAATTTTGGTTTGCAGGCCTATTTTGAGTGGGAGATTTATGAGTTTTTGTTCTTTTTATTTGACATTGCATATTCTTCCCTATGATGATCTTTCAGTTGCCTGCACCTGGCTCCCTGAGGTTCTTTTTACAGTGACAATTTTATGTTTGGCCCAGAATGATATTAGAGGTATAGCAGATTCAGCCATGGAGCCATCCTTCAGGTGAAGGAGTTCCACACCACATCCCATCATCAGATGAGTTTGAAGTCTCATCCCCATTTCTATGAAACTTAAGTCCCACCTTACCACACTGGAGCCTAATCCCTGGCTACCATTGTTTCCCTCCAGAGTCCAGCATGCCATTAGCCTCAGCCCTGCAACTATTCTGCATCTCTTTTTCCATTCTGACCCATGGAAGTATGTGAGTCTATTTATGTCACCTGTTCTTAGTTATCCATTTTTATCTACCGTACTTTCTGCTTTGAAAAGTAGAGGGTCTATGTCAAATTTTACACTGAATTGTGAAGTCACTCCATCTTCATTACTGAAAGCCCAGTGATATTTACTCTTTAGATTTAATTTTAAATTAAATGGATGAAACATGTATTTGTTTTTCCATGTGTATTTTTTTGTCCTTATAAAATAAGACATGTAAAATGAATATGACATTTTCATTCTCAAATCCACCCAAAGATCCTTTCAAGGAACAACTAACACTGAATATTTATTTTTGTGTAACAAGCACTATGCTGAACATCTTACCTGTACAATCTTATTCAAGCACAGCAACTCTATAAAGTTGATAATATTATTTATAGAAAATATAAATATTATTTATAGAAAAATTAACTGAATCTTAGACTGTTCAAGAACTTCTCAGTAGTTTAGAAGAACCAATACTCAAATACACGTCTAACTTGAAAGCCTCTGCTTTAAATTACTTTTTTATGCTTTTCTATTTTAATTGTTCAGACATTTGCATTCTTTTCTCTTTTCCCTTTTGATATATTAGTAAAATTTTAATAATGTTTTGGCACAGCATAATGCAAACTTGAGAAGGGTACAGACTTCAGTCTTGGATTAGAGATTTAGGTATTGTTTACTCTAGTATAGGATTTCAGAATGTGTTTGAGGGTCATATCCTGACCTAGTACGATCTTTCCTGATAAATTTTTAGTTTTGTTGTTGTTAAAGTTTTGGAGGTAGTAATGAGAGACTTTTTCCCCCATCCTTTCATTTTTCATTACTTTTATAGTATAAGGTGACCTACATAGGGTATATTCGTAATTTTGTGGCTTCGAGCACTTTAAAAAAATCAATTATTATAATTTTCCATTCTAAATGATAAGTTTATTTTTTCCAAGTTAACTCAGTAAGTCCTGAGTGTAAAATTCTGCAAAATTTCCAATGAAATTGGCACAGGTGCATTAAAAAATGTTGGGAATTATAACTTAAAGCTTATTATATAATTTATTACAATAATATTTATGATATCACTAAGAATACTAATATTATCTGAATCATTTAACTATTACTTTTCAAAAGAATGGAACTTGAATATATAAATATTTATTGCAAAGTTACTATAAATGGTATATGTGTTGCTCATTTAAAGTTTTTTAGGTACTCCATAAGCAGGATGATGGGACATAATTGGATTAATATTTCAGACTCTTCAAATCCATTGAATGTGATGATTCTCTAAGAAATGAGACAAACCTAATTGTAGGAGAATAGAAGAAAGGGAGAGAGATGGCATTAATGAATTGAGTGGTGTCTTGGAAGTTTTTAGCAAGGTTCCTTAAGTCAGAATCTACAAATGAAGAATTAAATCCAAATCTCATGCCCTGCCTGCATTTAATAACTAATGGAAATATGCAAGTATTTCTTATATGAAGACTGATTGGCTAGAAAGAAAAAAAAGGAAGCTATAGAAGTTTTTAACCTACAGTGAACATTGAACTAAAGAATAAAGAATATTAATGACTGTGCAAGAGTAGTGCTGAAAAGAATTTGATTTTGTAAGATACCAAGAGTTAAGATAGCAGGTGATACAATCAAGTAACTAAGAAAGACATGTGTACAACAGTGCTCTGGTCATAAGAGCTTTAGTGCTGGTTTGGAGAGGAACATTGGAGGAACATGATTTTTGTTAGAATTTTAGTGATGCATTAAGTAAAGGGGAATAAAATAATTCTTAATGGTTTGAACCTACATGCTGAAATGACTTTCCTTCATGCCTTTCTTCTAATTGTAGGAGATGGTTTATTGGAAATCTCAAGTTCAAACTACTCAGACTCTGTATCCCATTCCTCTAGGGCCAGCTCAGCCCTTCATCCTGTCAAAGCAGATAAAACAGAACAGCTTGCAATTTGCTATAAAGGGGTCCTTGGGATGAAGCATTTTAATGTCCATAAAGAGTAGACAAGACCTTCATTTTTAAAGACTCCCATGGAACGTTTCAAACAGCATGGATTTGTCTTGGTGCCCTTTGCCAAAATTAATAGATTTAGGCTGTGGAGTTGGAGAAAAGCTAAGCATTCAGGCCTACTTATCATCTAATAACATTTTATTACATTTATCTTATTTTAGCTCATATGCACTACATCTGACAACACATTAAATAAAAAGTAAAGGCTACTAATTTTTAGACCTACATCAGTTAAACATAGGAGGAATGCAGAATTACAATAATATTATTATAGAAATTAAGAATAAGACACACTGATCTATAGAATAGATCAAATTGATCTTACTTGACTTTTTTGAATATATTTTGACTCTATTTATCAGTCTAAAGTTGAATTGCTTTTCTGGTTTCAAATAGCTATTTCAACCAAGAGCTCTGATAAAGAAATGGCACAGAGGGACTGGTGTGTAATAAAACACCAAGTATGTTATTTTGAATTCTTCTCATGCTCTGAGAACAGGAATATCTTAAGCTTTGATAGAATGGTGCAATTTTATATTTTCCATTTGACTACTTTAAAAGGTTCATTGTCTTTTAATTAAACTACAGGGGGAAAGAGGGGAGATTAAAAGATGTAGTACTATAAAGGGGATGGCTTTTAGCTACTAGTACATGAGTGAAGACACCACAATAAAGCAAGATGGAGTGCAGCAACAAGTTTTGTGCCTTGAAGCCTCCTCTTGTCTGACTATGGCAGTAATTCGGAGTTAATTTGCACAGTTTCTCAATAAAAGGCTTTATGTTTTATATGCTTTGATTCTTTGTAGTATCTCTTTTTAGCTATTCTTTTATCTTCCTTTTTATGCAGTCCAGTGTATCTTATACAGCTAGAAATGATAATGACATAAACCAGTTTAGGTGAGAAGCTTGGACCAGGCTCAGTACATGTGTATTCCCTGTTTATCACCTGCTGTTTACTTTCCACAAAGTGACTGCCTCAAATAGCCCTTTCCTTGAATCTACTTTTTACTCTCACTGACAAGTAGAATCTCACTTTCTCCTATAGAAAATTTATAGTTTTAACATAGGGTAAACGTTTGGGTTTCTGTATATGGGAATATTAGTGCCTAGTAGTTAGCTTATTTTCCTTTGTCTGCATAAAGATTTTTTTTTTCTTTGTGTCTGTTTTTCTTCCTTTGCTTTTTACTCCCCACTTGTCCCCTAGTCCTTCAAGCCAATGAGGCTGTGGTGACACCTTCTGGGCAGTGCTGGGAGTGAATTACAGCCATAAGTTCCATGGTGGTAGCATATTGAAGATGTGGTATATAATACTAAATTTGGTTTGCTTCATCACAAGAACTGATAACAGAATCGTGCTTGAACTTAGTTTTTATAATACTTGTTAACTATCAGTGTTACTTCTTACTTAATGAGCAGTGATTTGTGGTTAACTAAATAAAAAGCCAGGAGCCTACCTGCTTAATCAATGTTAAGGCTATGGTACTTGGTAGGGCCTGAATGAATGTTAAAAGAGGCAAGATTAATGATTGCATATTATTAAAATATCAGAACTATACTACTGTGTATGTGCACGCCACATGTGCACCTGCCTGACACATCAAGTTACGTGCCCATTGCTTTATAGCATTGGGAAAATGCCCCATAAACAGTCTCGGTGGAAACATCATCCATCTCAACCATCCACTGTTGGCAGTGTAAGATGAAGGTTTCTCCCAGACTGTTTATGTCCACCCATGTCTCTCATCAGTTTTAACACACACATGAAGGAATTTTCTATGTAGCCTAGGTTAGAACCTTTCCTTTTTCTGAAAGACCTCATTTCTTCCACCTCTTCTTCAAAGCTGATTTAACTCTTATATTAAAAAGATTTTAAATGATAGCCTTTTCACACAGACATCATGAAAGCAAGCTTACTGATACCAACTTGCTGTATTTTTTCTTTTTTACTCACTTTTCCTTGGACCCTGAACATTATTGCTTCTAGTAAAATCATTAGATAGGTATGGCAAAGTTGCCATTACTATCTTTCAGGAAATTGGCTAATATTAACAGAACCTTATAAATTTAATATTAAATAATTTCCAGAATTTAAGGAATGTTTCCTTATTATGTTCAAAAACTGAATAGCAAATCTAGAAGTACTTACACAAAGGTAAAACCGCTGTCAAAGCAACTATAGTACTGTCTGTCTTTGTAGCATCAGCTTAGGGCAGTGTCAAATGGGAAAGAAAGCACAAGACACTAAACTTAAGGGTGAAACCAACTGGTACAGTTGGATATTCAGCCTTTAAAATGTTACCACAGGCCCTATCTTTGCTCTTTCCCATCCTTTGGTGAAATATTGCATATTCAATGTATGATGTATGCATTTATGTTTGGTACAAAATTCAATATTTCTATTACTACTATATATTAAAATCAAAGCAGGGACACATTGCCTTCTAATTTTGATTTGCAAGGTAGTAGATAGCTGGAAAGTAGACTGGAACTATAGGAAAATGGAAAAGAATTCTTTCATAAAATTAAAAGAAAGCTTAAAATGCTAACAGTGTGAATGAATAACAAAATATCATGTAGTAACTGTGGAGATGATGGTTTTATTTGAAGTGGGGGAGGGCGGAGAAAGCTAGAAGGAGGCAAAAACACAATTTGGTCTAAAATTGAATTTCTCTGATAAGGCATTTCAGAAGCGGCTTGTCTTATTCACTCAGCAGCAAAATAATCATATGCGCTTTAATAATCTTTATTTTACAGGAGTGTGTTGCCAGGGTAACGGAATGTAAGCAGGGGAACAGCACCTTGCAGATCACAAAGGCAAATCTGTGGAAAGAAATTTCACTGAGTTTCTCTTTTCCTTACCAGTGTAATAAAGACTCTTATTTTTCCTGCACTATTTAATAAACATTCTTTTCCTTTTCCCTTTTTTGTATCTGTTTAAACATGGACAATAGCATAAATATGGAATTGTCAAGCTCAGAGGGCTAAGCAAAAAACAGATGTTATATCTTTAGCATTTTTATATAATTACTTTTTATTACTATTTTACTCCTATCTCCATCCCTCCCAACCTTATTGTGTTATTTCCTTCCCTCTGTAAAACAATCTGATGATAGTATTCCAAGTTAAGGGGGATTGAGGTGGGAGTTTGTATTTGGCTACATTAATCAGAATTTATTAGCTAAGCTTGCCTGCATGGAGATTCTAAAGAGGCGAGGGTTGCAACTGAAGCATCTATTTTTGGAAGGAGGTAAATTGAATTACAGCAAATGGAGTGACAACCATTCAGACCAAAAGCTGCAGAAATAATCATTTCTTTATTTTTTTTGTGTGTGTGTGCGCGCACACACACACACACACACACACACACACACACACACACCCCAAGAGGAATGAAAAAGGAAAAGAAGAAATGGCAAATTCTTTCAGGTTTTCATTGGATACTGGTTCTAGAGAACTGGTTGACTTGAAATTAACAAAATGAAAGGATCCAATTCCTTTCAAAGAGATAATAAAATCTAGAATAAAAATGTGCATACTGTTGTGCATAGCATAGTGGTAATAGGCCTATAATTTCTATTGAATCAATAGGCAGAGGTAGGAGGATCACAATTTCAAGGCCAGCCTGCAAAACTTAGCAAGATCCTGTCTCTAAATTAAAAAATGAAAGGGCTGTGGCTCAGTGGTACAGTATACCTGGTTCAATCCCCAGTCTCTCTCTCTTTCTCTCTCTCACACACACACACACATACACATACACAGAGAGAGAGAGAGAGAGAGAGACTGTGCCCACTGATCTCTTGATTAGATCCAGTATATAACCAATTAGTTCAAATTTATAACAAATATTTATAATCATATTTGTCTGTCATTATCTTTGCCATAGCCTGCAAAAGTGAATTTTAAAACAAATCTACCAAAACATGCTATATCTATACATGAATATACCACAATGAATCTTGATTTTAAATATATAATTATAATGCACTAATTAAAATAACAATAAGAATGATAGAAGGGTGATCAGTGGAATAGAACAAGCAGATCATGGGGAAGGAAGAGGTTAGATGGCGAGGGGTACTGGGGAATAAGATAGATTAAATTATGTGCATGTACAAATATGTCATGAATCCCACTGTTAGGTATAATTATAAGGCACCAATAAAAAAGCAAAAAAAAAGAGTAGCTAGGAAATTAATGAAAATAATTTCATTAATTAGGAGTATTTGTTTCACATGATTGCTAAAGATTTGACTTCTGTCAAGAATTTCAAGTTAATACTACTTGTTAGTTTTAACACATTCACTGCATACCCAAGTTGTATAATACGTTTATGTAGTTCTTTCTCTAGGTCTGTGGGATAGTCAACAACCACAAACAGGTGCTCAAAAATGAGTCCCTGAATGAATATCATTCTTAAATTACATTTTTCTGGATATTGATGAGATTTAAAGTATGGTTTTAATTATTACTATTAAATTTTTTTTTAGAAGTTGTTTGCTCTTGTCATATAATCCTTGGACAAATACTTAAAACTGAAACTGTAACTGTACTAAAAGCAGATAATGGTAAAAGAACAAGTAAAATTTGAAAAGGTCCAGTAAAGTTTTCTTAAAATGACAAATTGTAGGGAATATATTCCATAGTGATGTAGCTAGCATATCTAGTGTTAACAAAAATAGAAAAGGGTCATATTGAAATAGTAAGATTTCTGGTGTTCTAGAGGAATGGCAAACTGAAATGCTATGGAAATCAAAGTATGATTCTAATCAAGAACCATTGAAAGTTCTTGAGAAAAATAATGTGAACCCAACAATCATTGTTTCAGTTTGTTTGTCTATATTATAACAATTTAAAACTCCTCATTTTCATTCTAAATTTATTTGGAGCTTTCCTGGAGCTTTTTATGTAAAGTCTATATTTGACCTCTCTGGTGTTAATTATTTCTTAAGAGCTTATAAATACCCTACATTAATGTTGCCAAAAGGGTGGACATTTTTCCCTCTTTTGGCTCCTTATTTACCTCTAGATTCTCTATAGAAAATAGGATTAGCTGTTTTGGGCACAGAATAGCATGTCTGTTTTCTTAGAGTTTGAGATTTTATCTTTGGTATATGAAAATTACCAATAATGCTACATTTTTATTTAATTGTTATGAAGATGAGCATGTGGTTAGCAAATAAAATCATGGTGGCAAATAAATATTGCTCCTTTAGTGATCTAACTTCAACTATAAAATTTTCAGATTATCTGCTATTTGTTATTCCTTACTTGATGAAAAAATTATTTCCCTTTACCTCTTGAATTTGGTGCAGTTTTGGAATCATGTAAAATAGAAACTTAAAATGGAACTCTGTCTATTTTAGTTGAGGCCTGAAGCCCCAAGACTAAAGAGTTCAAGAAGAGATATGAAGTCACCTTCAGTTAAAGAAGGAGGAGGGAGAAAAGCAGTTATTCTTAAGCTATTTAGCCATATAAAGAATATTAACAGATTGGGAGGTTGAAAATTAAGGAAAGAAGGAATTTTGGAGGCAGTTTTTAGCTTGCTGAGTATTCCATCAGACCTCCAAGAGGAAGGAGCAGGGTGCATTTCCCTTCATCTGAATCCAAGAGAGTCTTTTTTAAGAAGATCCCTTGGAAAACCTGTGACCTCTGCCTTTTAGAACCTGCTATTTTACTGCTATCTGATTTATCATGCCTGAGAAGTCCAAAGTACATGAGAAAAAAGTGAGACAGAATTTGTTGGAGATCATATGATTAAAAACAACAACTGGCCAAAGTGGATGGCATAGACATGAACAAAAGGAAGGATGACATAAATTACCTTCAAGGTAATCCCATAATGCTCTCTACAAAAATACTCTTCTCTTTTGACCAGAATGGTTCTTAATTCCGATAGAGAAATCCACATAGTTTCTAAAGTTATACACAGCGTAAGGGGAGAAATATGGTTGATTTTAGTGTACTTATACTGTTTAATAATTCTTATTAGTTGAATGAGACTTTTTCTATCATTTATAAAGTAATGTACATTGCAGTCTATATAAATGGTCACTGCTTTTCTCTGTGAAGTTCATTATTTTATACAATTGAAGAATTTTACTTACTATGAAAACTAGTGCAGATGTTACTAAAGTTGTTATTGAACCCTGTAATCAGGAAAATTGAGTCTTTATTGAACATTTCTAGTTGTGCTTATAATTTTGTCACAATGATGCATACTGAAAAGAATGTCTGACTAGTTTAAGTCTTCACTGTGGCACTTATCTCTTCCTTATCTCACCTATAAAATGGAAATAATATTTCTTTTTCTGCTTAAATGATAGAGTTATTATGAAGATCAAGATAAGGGTAGTGAATATCAATATTGATATACATTTGTCTTCATATATATGATATTTTAATGTAACAAAGCCCATTCATAATATCACATTATGAAAAATATATTTCATTTTTATTTGTATAAATATACATATATATAATTAAGTCACATCTATGATATTCTTTTTTGTTAGGGTTTAAATGCACAAGAGTATCCAGAAGTGCTTTCTCCTTTCCATTGCTAAAACTTATTTGTTGAATGAAAATATATATTATCAATCAACAGGAAGATTCTTCAGGTCCCACAATTAGAGGCAAGTCATGGATTTGAGAGCAAAACAAGAATTTTAATAATTTTCATTCATTCACGAGAATGGAGTCAAATTTTTAAAATAGGGACATAGGAAGAAAAGAATCTTATCTAGAAGAATGCTGAAAGAACTAGAAAGAGCTTTTTCCTATTTTACTGAGATACTGTGCCTTGTATTTTTGCTTTTGGATGATCTCAGTAGTAGAATAAGTGAGACTCTTAAACAAAAAATGGAAATTCACATTGCTCATTTCTTATGGACCACACTTGCCTCCATAGAAGTCTATTAAAATCAAAAGGATATAGTATCTCTAAGAGTAAGAATAATGTAATTCATCACAGATAAAATACAGAAACTTTTAAAGTTTGAAGCTAGAACTAAGGCTTAAAACTTATTTCAATTAGTTCAACAATGGAAATAATTATTTTTAAATAATGGCATATTATTAACCCTAAGAATACCTTGCCCCTCTGTCTACTTTGATCTCCCTCTTTCCCTCTCCCCAACATGCTCTCTGATTTACAACTGATTGAATATATTTGATGGTTCAGTGTTAGTAAATTGATGGGCAGGTTATTACCTTGGTTATAGTTTCAATCCAGTGTAATGTATAATAACAAAAATATATTAAACCTTCCAAATAGAACTCAGGCCAAAAGTGTTACCTGCCAAAAATAGAAATAATTAATGTTTTGAGACAAGAGTTAGTACTGGTACAATTCTCCTATTTTAAGAACAATAAACTAAGCACCCATGATGTAAAGTTAGAATGTCAGACAAGGCCCTTTGACATCTTATATTTAGTTCACAAACAGATTTTACAAAAACCATCACATTATTTTATTTTTTTAGAGCATACCCTCATAACTCATTTTCCTTCATCAAGGAATAGTAGGGGTTTATGGGATATTTTCCCCCTAGATTTACTTCAGACATACATTGCAGGTCAACGAGGCAAGCCACATAAATACTCCTCTTCAGATTTTATCATTAGTATTAAAATCTAACAGCATCTTATATATGAATGATTTAGAAAGTGTTTTCCAAAGGGTCAGAGAAAACTGTTTCATGAATTCCAGAAATTTACAACCTTGAAAGTTATATTTCTATATTTCATTAGAATAAAAGAAACTTCTTGTTTAAAGCCTTCATTTTGAATTCATTTTTTAGCTTTAATTATATAGTTAAAATAATAAAGTATATCATGAGCTGGGAGAAAGATTGATTTTTATTTTACTTTCAATGTGATTATATTATCTTATATGAACCCTTATAATAATTAAGATATTAGTTAGATTTCAAATAAAAACCTGTGTTGAAGTTTGAATCTTTTGATTCTCTGTATACTAGAGATATTACATACACTGGTAATAATGGTGGTTTTGTGGCTATTGTGTTTGAAATGTTTGCTGACTTATATAAGATCTCTTGTAATTTGAAGGTGGATTTGGCATGACCTACTTCAATATAATTCCTATTAGTAACTCCATTGAAGTGTTAAATGATAAATCCTTTGAAATTTTTTCCTTGGGTAATCCTAACTTAACCATATTATGAAAATAGAAACAGGTCTCTTAGGAGAGGGGTGTGTGTGTGTATGTGTGTGTGTGTGTGTGTGTGTGTGTGTGTGTGTGTGTGTGTGTGTGTATGTGTGTGTGTGTATGTGTGTGTAGTCTTTGTAAAGAGCAGATACTTTGTGCTTCCTTTTGTCTCTTAAGAATGTTATTTAAAGCTGTAGTTGACATTTTCCCACATAATGCAAGGATTTATGAGAATGCCTTTTCATTTCAAGCCATGTATATAAGATTCAAATATAATCGCAAGACTTAAAAAAAATGATCCAGTTTCTTACTCTAAAGCAGAGTGACAACACATCTTTATCCTACCACAGAGTATCATGATGAGGGTGATATACTCCAATTGTGATAAATCTCACCAGAAATAAAATAACTTATCTCTAAATATTAAGTTTATTTCCACCTAAATTTTGCAGTAGAATTGTCTCCAAATACAAGTGATCAGCTAATGCTCGTCTCTGTTGAAAGTGAACACAGCTAAATATCTTAGCTAATTACAGAACACCAAACCTAAGGATAGCCTAGAGGGAATACAAAGAAGGAATGTTAATGGAGTTGCACAAATGGAGTAAATTCTTATCATCATCATAACTAAATGTTTGTTACTGCCTTCCCTCCTATTCACCTCCCCATCTCCCTCTGCACCTTTCCATTTCAAGAGAAGGAGTGAACATTTTTACAACTCTTTGTTTCTGTAATCAAGCTCCATTCTTTCATAAGTGAACAATGAGTTGACAACTAGTTGTACTAATATGGTCTTACATGGTGAGGAGTCTTCAGCTGTCATGCTAAAGAATCTACTTTTTTGTTGTTGTTGTTAATCTCTTTTACCTAAGGAAGAATGAACTCATAATCTACCTTCATTTTCACAAGGAAAGGTAAAGTCATTTTTATTTAAATAAACACTGATATTTCAAGAGCTTAAATTAGATGATTTACTTTTTCCTATCTTGGTAACCTGGATTCTCCCTTCTTTTGAAATGGAAACTGTCTTAACCCCATAACCTCAACATCACTGTGAGTAAAACTCTTTCTAATGATCTGACTCTGTAGTGTTCACATTAGCATTGCTAATCAGCTTGCTGTAGTGGATCTGTATCTTCAGGACTAATGTTCACAGAATGTCCATTGACATAATTGCCGCTTTGTACCAGTGCTTAGATGCTACTGTAAAATCACAGGTTTGAATTTCTTAGTGCATATCCCAGAATATGGAAAATTTTAAACCATATACAATTTTATGTTACAAACTTGAATTTTCACACAGTGCTCTTTATCTAAAATGTTCATGGTGCCTAATACTATCGGGCACTGAATGTTTAGCTTAAAAAACTAAAAGACTCCATCTTACTTGTTTTTCCTTTATTTTTGTTTCTTCTATAACTGAAAGGCAATCATTTCTAGGGGAAGGTCTTAATCTATGTTGAAGAATAGCTGATGATTTCTGAAAATCACTTTCAAAAGCCCTGTGTGAGATCATCATGATTGTCACAAATGAACATTTATTAAATGTCCATTGTATTCTTGACATTATATTAGGTTTTGCAGAGAATTCACTGAAGACAGACAATAGTATTGAGGAATAAAAGAGAGAAGATTCACAAGAATATTATTTTATAAATGTTAAATATGGAAATTGTTACGTAATTGGATTGTATTTACATATTTTAGGAAATATATAGATACTCCTAATGTGAACATGGCAGACATAAAACGAACAGGTATATATGAAACAATTTCTGTATTTCATTCTGCCTCTGTAAACCTTCCTCAAGTTAATAAGTTACCAAAAATGGAGTAGAATATAATAGTAGCAATGCTTAAGATTCATCTTACGTGTTACCAACATTTGACATTTGCCTTATTTAGTAGAAAATATAGTTGAGTATAACTATTGAAAAAAAGAGTTTAAGGGGATAAAAATTAAAACAAAATCTTTGCAAATTCATTGGCAGTGAAAGAACTTAGCACGGGTTTCATGGTAAAAAGATAACAGGCAGATCCACTTGGGGTTTCAAACACAGCAAGAAAGAATCTGAATATAGGATTATTTAGATTAGAACTAGAATGGTAGTCAATATGAGAAATAACAAATTTACCAATTTATAATTAAGGACTTTGGAAGTAAATTTTGCAAAAAAAGAAATTGAAGGAAAAGATTTCTGATAAAGAAGAGCAATTCACTTATTCACTCACTCACTCATCATATTTATTTGATACTGCTGTCTACCAGATACTGTGCTAGGGACTATGTAAAGAATAAAAACAGAATTTAGTATTTATCTGAAAATTCTCCTACTACTAAAGCTCCAAAAATGCCAGATAAAATGCAACAAATATTCATTCAGATATATAACTATACTAGTGTGAAAGTAAGGGAAATCTTTAAGATCTAAAAATAGATAGGGCTTATAAAACAAAGTGGTAAGCTTGAGTGGTGACATGGACTACCTGGAAATGGGGATGGAGAGATGTCCTGGCCTAAGGTTGTAGATTTAATAGCCAGAGAAGATTGGGAGACAAGATATGAAGTGTATATGATAAGTGGAGTTAAAACTGAAGTACCAGTGATAGCAGGAACCCTAGGAGCATCATCAAATGAAAGGATTGAGTCTTGGCTGTGACTCTACGGCAGAGTGCGTGCCTAACATCCTGAAGCCCTTGGTTCAACACCCAGCACCACCCTCCCCCCAAAAAAAAGGCAGACCACAGGAAGTTTTTTTCTTGTCTTGTGCTTTGTGCCTACATGATAGGGAAAGCAAACTTTCCACAAGAATTTCTAATCATTATGAGCATGCCTTTTTTAGGTTTGATGTTTAAATTTATACTTCTGCCTAGGACCAACTGCTGAGAAATCAACATAAAAGTAGTTACAGAAGGCTGGGGTTGTGGCTCAGTTTTAGAGTGCTCATCTGTCATGTGTGAGGCACTCGTTCGATCCTCGGCACCACATAAAAATAAATAAATGTTGTGTTCATCTATAACTAAAAAAAATATTTTTTAAAAAGTAGCTACAGAATACTAATACTCTTGGAGTATCTTGCAGAAAATAAAATGAAACCTTTGTAGAATTTCCCCAATTTGAGCTACACTTTATTCCTAAGAAAATGCCCTGTTTAGCATTGATTCATTTCCTCCAATTTACAAAATATGCAAGGAAATGGCCAATATGAACAAGAGTCAGTAGACCCATATATATCAGAATGAGCTTCTATAATCTTAAGCTAATAGTACAAAGAGTGTAAAGAAAAAAGTATAAAATATTTTTAAACAAAATAACTGAACATAGAAGAACATCTTTAACAAGTGAAACATATGCCCAGAAAAGAGCAAATTAACAATCTGAAAATAGATGTAAGGAAATCACCTTAAAGGCAGTACAGAATTATAGAGAAAGAAATATGAAATGAAATCCAACATACATGTACTTGGAGTTTCAGATGGAAACTGTGGAAGAATAAAGAAGAGATAATACTTGATGAAGAAGTGACTGAAAGTTTTCCTAACATCTTTTAGAACCTAAATTTATGTATTAAATACCTTTTAATTTTACCTAGGATAGTTTCTCTTTTCCTGATTTACCCCCAACAATACTCATTTTTTTTCTCTTTTCTCAACTGACCCCTAATTGATACATATTCCCACCTAAGCTATTATTTAAAAATAAAGGTTTAGTAAAGACATTTTCAGAACAAACAAGAAGTGAAAGAGTTCACTAACTTACAGATTTTCAGAAAGAATTACTAAAGAATGTAGTTTAGAAATAGAATGAGCATAGAAAGAAGGATTTTATGCTGAGTGAAAAAAGACAATCTCAAAAGGTGACATTTAGGTATGACTCTATTTATATAGCATCCTTAAAATGGCAAAATTATAGTGAAGGAGACTATTTATGGTTTGGATATGAGGCGGACTCCAAAAGCTCATGTGTGAGACAATGCAAGAATGTTCAGAGTTAAAATTGATTACATATTGATCACTGATACGGATTAACTGTATGGTTACTGTAGGCAGGTAGGGTGTGCTTGAAGGAAGTAGGTCTTTGGTAAATGGACATCTCTCTGCTTCCTGCTTCCATGTGCTGAGCTAATTCTCTCTACCATGACCTTCTGCTATGATGTTTCCCTTACCTCTGGCCCAGAGCCATGGAGTGAGTCCATCATAGGCTGAACTTTGAAATGGTGAGCCAAAATTAACTTTTTCTGATCTTAGTTGTTCTTTTCAGGTCTTTTGGGCATAACAATGCAAAGGCTAAGTAAAACACAGAGTATTGGTGGTTGCCAGGGGTTAAGGATAAGAGAGGAGTGATGGGAAAGAAAGGAATGTTGTGATTATTAAGGAATAATATGAGAAAGAACTTTGTGATAACAGAACATTCTGTATCTTGATTTCAGTGGTAGTTATATGAATCTACATATGTGATAAAGTGATATAGACTTATATATACATGTTTTCCCATGCCAATTTCCTGTTTTCAATATTTTACATAGTTATTTAAGATGTAACCATTGGATAACACTGAATAAAGAGTACTTGGGACTTCCCTTTATAACTTCTTGTGAGTCTATAATTATTTCAAAATAAAAAGTTTTTTTAATTAAAAAAACAGAAAAATAAGAGTGAAACTAAAATTTTGAATAGTAATATCATGTAGGAAGAAGAATAATTTTGCTTTAAGAGTCTGAAATTCTTTGTGTTGTTTGAAAGAAAATCATATTGGTTGATGTTAGATTTTGTCAGTTTTCAGTGGTAAAAACTTAAGAATATCTATTTTTAAAAAATAGACCAATATAAATAAAAGGAAAAGAACAAGTAAAAGGTAAAAGGTAAAGAATATGTAGGAGAAAATTTTTGTTTTATTTATGGCAATGTGGTTGGCTAATTACCTAGCGCCAATTCCCTGCCCCACCCCCAAAGTGGGTGGATGGATTTGATTTTTTTAAAAAATTAATCATATCTATTAGTTGATAAGAAACTAAAGGAAATTCAAGCCTAAAACTTAATGAAAGCAAGAACCTAACTCACATACTATACTCGTGGGATGAAGCTAAAGAGGTACTTAGAGGAAAATTTATAACCAAATGTTCAAAAGACATCAAAGCAAGTAAATATAGGGCAGAATTGATGAATTAGAAAATATAGTTAAAATATTGTATTTTATACAGACTAACAGACAAATGCGAAGTAAAACTGGTCAAGAAAAGAATTTAGGAATGAAAAGGGAACTATAAATGCATTAATTATTTAAAATCATAAGAAAATGCAAATTCTAGCTCTGTTCTCCTGAAAACCTGTTCCTTGGAGTTGAAAAAAATAATGGCAGATGACTTTTGTAATATGAACTATGTTTACCAAGCACATTGCTTATGTTAACAATGCCATTTGATAAGTAAATCACATTGCTGGGAAGGATGTAAATAAAAGATTACCTGGTAGGAAATTCTACCTTTACACCTTCCAGAGTGCAGTGACTGGAAGCTATGGATCCAGAATTATTACAGGATTTATCAAATCCTTTTTCCCCTACACAATGTGATCTTATTCCTTTACAATCTGAGATTAACTCCTGAGTGATTATGTGACCTGATGGATAAATGTCACCACTCTTGGAAAATACCTGACATTACCTGATATCCCCTCATAGGTGTAAATTGCTTTTTGCCAATAAACTTGAAAATTTAGTTGAAATGGACAATTTTCCAAGAAAAATAAAACATTTCCAAAGTGACTCAAAACCAATCAGAAAAAACAAGTCAAACTATAACTGTAAGAAATTAACATGCCCATAACTTCAAGAAATTAAATTTCTTGGTTCATTAGAAGAAATTATAAATAGTGAATATGAAATCAGAGACTAGAAAATCATTTTAGTACCATACTTGGAAGGCACAAATGTTCATACCCTACAGTAGAGCAAATCTACTCTAGTTACTGCATTAAGGAAATTCTTATGTATATGCACAGAGACACATACCAAAATGCTGGTCAAAAATGTGAAAAAATATTCATGAATCTGACAAGCGATTAATGTCCAGAATAGAGAACTACTAGAACTCAATGATAACAACAGAGAATATGCTCAAGATGGCGGAATAGAGGCGGTAACTTTTCAGGCTGCTCAGTAATGTGAGACCAAGAAAGTGGGTAAGCAGCTTCTCAGTAAAGTGAGTAAGGAAAAAAAGGAGGGGGACTTTACTTGGAATTAATACTGGACATTCAAAGCAGATTAGGGATTTATTTGTAGAATATGGAAGAAATCCCCTGCCCCACTGCTGCTGCCAGCACCTGCCAGAGCAGTCCTTTTGCAGACAAAATAGAGGGATAGTGGTAGGAAGGGAACTCATATTTTAGGGAGACCTGTGGTATATCTTGGCATAGAAAGATCAAAGGTAGAGATCAAAGACACTGCTGGACTGACCCAGAAGGTCTGCTGCACAACACTCTTGTGAAGGAAAGAAGCCACTTCTCTCCTGGCTTCCTACAGAGAACAGGTGCCATATTGCAGTTACCTGATAGCAGCCAGCAGCCATGGGTGCCAAGTCCTGGCAAAACGAAGCTAGGTCTAAAAATCTATAGTATGTCTAAAATGCCAGGAGAAAATCAGATGCAGAGAGAGTTTTACACAGAGGGATATGGGTCAGGGAAACCCACCCAGATCACCCTTCCCCCCTTGAGTCCAGTGTCTCACAAGACCAGCTGTGAGGGCTGTGCCTGGCCAGGAATTCAAAAGGGTGGGGGGCACGAATGATTGAATTTTGGTACTGCACCCAAGGTCCAGGAAAAAGAGAGCCTGTGGGTGATGGAGGGGGCAAAGGATTGGCTCTTCTGCCAAATGAATGGAACCTAGGGGAGATTCCTGGGATGCAGTTTCCCAGTGAGGGCCAGCAACTTCTGGGCCCTGGAGGTGTGCTGATTTAAAATCTTCAAACCAATTGCCATTCAACAAAGAACCTGGAGTCTACCTGGACCTAAGCCACACCTTCAGGAGCTCCACCTACAGGAACTCCTTACAGAACATTAAAGCAACCCCAACCTGAAGGTGGAGCACACATTACACTCCAGCTCACTGTACCTAACAACACCTGAGAATTTTTTAAACTCCAACTGGCAACTTGACGAGCCACTAAAAAAGAGGAAGAATGTGATCAATACTCTTGTACACACAAATACCTCAAGAAGAAATGGAAAGAGACATTTGGGAATAGGCAAAAAACATACATTCTCGATTAATATTTTTGACCAATGCAATGGAAAAAAATTCCTTTTCATTGAGAACTTTTTTTTCCTGTTTAACTGTGAGCTGAATGGTTCATGGATACTTATACATATTTGTTGTCAACCCCCCCCCCACACACACACACAATTTCTAGCACTTTTTTGAAGGCAGTTATTTTTCATTGCTCTGTTGAGGGCTAGGATATTTGATGAATGTATGTTTTGTTTTGCATTTTTCTCTCTCACTCAGCTGTTACCCTTGATTCTTTTTCTCTTTTCTTCTGCTAATAGCCAAACTCTGTGTTCTTTCTTTCATTCTTTCTTTAATTTTTTACTTCAATCTACTCTCCTCCTCCATCAGAATCATCACATCATATCTTCTCTTCTCCCTGTTCACCTTTAAAAAATGCAAACTCTTTTGCGGACTTAATGTATTTACTGTGGGCAATAGTTGATCACATCATTTCTGTGCATTAACATTGTAGATGCCATAGCAGAAACTATTTGGTTTAATGCTGTGAATCATTTGCTTTGGATGTTATAATTGTTTGTCTCCTCTTAAACTGTGAGGCACTGGAAACTTTCAAAGAAAGTTCACAGGTTAGAAACACTGCTGCCTCAAATCCATACTGTTAGTTGGATAGATAAACAACATAAAAAAATAACATAAAAATGGAGGCAAGGGAACAAATTGCCCCAAACAAACCCAGAGACTTCTATAACAGAAATCTACTGATACCACAGTGGGAAAATGTCAGAGAAGGAATTTTAAAAAGTTCAGAGTTAAACTAATCTGTAAGGTAAAAGATGATATAAGGAGTGAAATCAGAGAACATGCAGGAAGTGAAAAATCACTTCAATAAGAGATATTCTGAAAAAAAAATCAAGCAATAATCCTGAAAATAAAGGAATTAATAAGTAAATGAAAAATTCAATGGAAACCATCACCAGCAGACTAGACTACTTGGAAGATAAAGTTTCAAACAATGAAGACAAAAATATATATTCTTGAAAATAAAATTAACCACAGAGGAAAGATGTTAAGGAACCATAAACAGAACTTTCAAGAAATATGGGATAATATGAAAAGACCAAATTTAATATTTATTGGGATAGATGAAGCCTCAAAGATCCAAACCAAAGGAATGAACAATCTTTTCAATGAAATAATATCAGAAAATTTCCCAGACCTTGCTAATGAAATGGAAAATCATATACAGGAGACTTACAAGACTCCAAATTTACAAAACTACAGTGGATTCCCCCCACCCCCAGACACATTGTTATAACATACAGAATAGGGATAGAATTTAAAGGCTGCAAAAGGAAAATAACAGGTGATATTAAACCAACCCAGATTTTAGCTGATTTCTTCTCCAGGAGAAAGAAAATGGATACCAGCCCAGAATATACCCAGCAAAATTAAGCTTCAGAATTAATGATGAAATAAAAAGCTTCCACAATAAAAAAGTCAAAAGAATTCACTAGAAAGCTTGCACTATAAAACAAACTCAATAAATATTTCATGAAAAATAAAATTGAAAACCAGCAAAGGGAGGAACTATACTGGAAGTGTAGTCAATCAAAGGAGAAACTAATGCAAACCAAAAATCAGAAATGAATCAAAATTACAGGGAATAAAAATCATTTCACAATAACATTGAATGTCAATGGCCTAAACTCAGTCAATCAAAAGATATAGACTGACATAGATTAGATTCATAGGCAAAGATATCCACAGACTGAAGGTAAAAGAACGAGAAAAAACATATTATTCACATGGCTCTCATAAACAAGCAGGAGCTTCTATTCTCATGTCCGATAAAGTGGACTTCAAGCCAAAGATAATCAGATGGGATAAAGGACTGACTTCCTTAACAAGACTCTTAAAGCTCAAGAAGTAAAATAAAAAATGAATAAATGTGATGAGTTCAAATTAAAAAGCTTTTTCTCAGCAAAGGAAACAATAACATGAGGAGAGAGCCTACAGATTGGGAGAAAATCTTTACCATATGCATCTCCAATAAAGCATTAATCTCTAGGGTATATAAAGAACTCAAAAACTTAACACCAAAAAAAAACCCCAATCAATATAGAAATGCAAATCAAAACTCACTCCTGTCAGAATGGCAATCATCAAGAATACAGACAACAATAAGTTTGGTGAGGATGTGGTGAAAAAGGTATACTCATATATTACTGGTGGGACTGAAAATTAGTGTAACCACTGTGGAAAGAAGTATGGAGATTCCTCAGAAAAACTGAAAATGGAACCACTATTTGACCCAGCTATCCTACTCCTTGGTTCATACCCAAAGGACTTAAAATCAGCATATAATAGTGACACAGTCACATCAATGTTTATAGCAGCTCAATTCATAATAGCTAGACTATGGAACCAACCTAGGTGTCCCTAAATAGATGAATGGATAAATAAAATGTGGTATATATAATCAATGGAATATTACTCAGCTTTAAAGAAGAGTGAAATTTTGGCATTTGCCAATAAATGATTGGAATTGGAGAATACCATGCTAAGTGAAATAAGCCAATCCCACAAAACCAAAAGCCAAATGTTTTCTCTAATATGCAGATGCTAATTCACAATAAGGTGTGGGGGGCACTAGGGAAGAATAGCATTACCTTAGATTAGGCAGAGGGAAATGATGGGAGGGAAGAGGAGGGGATGTGGGGGTAGGAAAGATAGTAGAATGAAACAGTCATTATTACTATAGTACATATGTGACTACATAACCAATATGATTCTGTAACATGTACATTCAGAAAAATGAGAAATTTTATCCTATCTATGTATGATATATCAAAGTGCATAAATGCATTCTATTGTCATGTGTAATGAATTAAAACAAGTTAAAAATTAAAATAAAATATATGAATGGGACCACCATTTGAAATAGTTATACCATTCCTCAGTATATATCCTAAGGAGTTAAACAGTGACATTGCCACATCAGTGTTTATAGCAACTCAATTCACAAAAGCTAAGCTAGAGAACCAACCTAGGTGTCCTGCAATAGATGATAGGATGAAAAAAAATGTTGTACGTATACACAGTGGAATATTACTGAGCCATAAATGACTTTATGACAGTTGTTGACAAATGGTTGGAGTTGGAGACTACCATATTACTCCAGTCTTGGCCTGTCTTCACACCACCTTCTCCTCTTCTGTCAAATGTCTCCTGTGGGTCTTCAATAATGATGCTTGTAATTGAATTTAAGGCACACTTGAATAATTTAGCATGATATTTTCATCCCAATATACTTAAGTACATATGCAAAGATTTTTCCTTTTAAATAAAGTAACATTCATATTTATCAGGATTTAGGACATAAGCAGAACTTTTAGGGAGCCACTTGTTCAACCCACTGTACTACTTCAACATCATGTATCATTGCATTTTATTTTATTGCAATAAGGGCCCTGGAACACAGTTGCTAGGTTAAATGGTAATTGTGTGTTTAGTTTTTGTTTTTGAGAAAATGCTAAACTATTTTCCAAAGTTGTACCATTTCCAGAATTGTACCATTTTATAGTCTATCAGTGTTGTATGAGCAAACCAATTTCTCTGTATTCTGAACAGCATTTGGCAGTGGTGTTTTTCATTTTGGTCATTGTGATCGGTGTATAGTCATGTTTTATTGAGGTTTTAATCTGCATTCTCCTAATGAACTATGGCTAATGATGCTGAATATATTTTCATCTGTTTACTTGCCCTCTATGTATCTTCTTTGATGAATTGTCTCTTTCATGTCTTACTTGTTCACTATTGAACTTTAAAGAAGTTCTTTCATAGTTTAGATACAAATCCTTTGTCAGATAGTCTATCTCACTCTGTAGCCTTGCCTTTTCATCCTTTTGACCTGGTCTTTAGAGAAGAAATGGTTTTAATTTTGAAGCAATCCACCATAGCAGTTCTTCTTTTCATGGATTATGTTTTTGATGTTAAGAGTAAGAACTCTTTGGCTAGCTCTAGATCTGGAATGTTTCTGCACTGAGTTTTTTTCTACATTTAAAAAAGTAATTTCATATTGCAGTCTGTGACTTATTATGAGATAATTTTTATATGATTTTTCTTTGGATGTCTAATCTCTCCAGTGCCATTTGTTCAAAAACGATCTTGCCTTGTTGCCTTGTTCCCAGTCTTTGAGGGAAAACAGTTTCTGACCATTAAGTATAATATCAGCTATAGTTTATTTTAGTAGATGGTTTTTATCAAGTTGAGGAAAATCCCCTTCTGTTCCTGTTATTCTGAGTATTTTATCTTAAGTGATTATTGAATTTTGTCAGTTTATTTGCATCAGTTGATATGATCATGTGATGTGACCTAACTTGTTAATATTGTGGCATGTATTGATTGATTTTCTAATATTGAACAAGACTTGCATCCCTGTAATAAATCCAATTTGATTATACATCATAATGTATATTTTTTTCTATGTTGTTGCATGGTATTTGGTAATCCTTTGTTAGGAATATTGGTCTGTAACTTTCCTCTTTCTTTCAAAATTTTTTTTATTAGTGCATTATAGTTACATAAATTTCCGGGTTCATTTTGACATAATTATACAAGCATGGGATATAATTTTCTCTAATTCAGTCCCCAGTACTTCCCCTTTTCCTTCCCTCCTCCTTTCCCATTCCCTTTTTTCTGCTTTACCAGTCTTCTATTTATTTATACTTGTTTTTCTTTTTTAAGTAATGCATTTTAACTTTACATAAAGATGAAATTCACAGTGGTACTTTCACCTATGTACATAGGATAGTTTGGTCAGATTCATTCCACATTCCTCCTCCCTCCTCTTCAATCTCCTTCCTCTGCTCCACTGATACCTCATCTATTTCCATAGGATTTCCTACACACAAACATTTTTCCTATATTTTGGTCCAGCTTTCACATTTGATCTTTGACTTTCTAGACCTGGCTTACTTCCCTTAGCATGATGTTCTCCAGTTCCATCCATCTGCTAACAAATGCCATAATTTCATACTTCTTTATGCTTCTTTTTCTTTCTTTCTCTTTTTCTTTTTCATTCTTTTTCTCCCCTGGTTTTGTCTGGGTTTTGTATCAACATATTGCTAGTTTCATAAAATAAGCAATGTTCCTTCCTTTTCTGTTTTCTGGAATAACTTGTGTGGAATTGGTGTTAATTCTTATTTAAACATTTGGTAAAATTCTCAGTTATAACTATCTGGTCCACAAATTTCTTCTTTCATAGTGTTCATTTACAAATTTAATTTCTTTAAGACTTATAGAGCTATTCAAATGATATACTTCTTTCATAGTGTTCATTTACAAATTTGATTTCTTTAAGACTTAGAGAGCTATTCAAATGATATACTGCATATTGGTAGAGTTGTGATACTGTTTGAGAATTTGACCCATTTTATCTCAGTTGTCAAATTTATGTGTGTACAATTATCTGTAGTCTTCCTTCATTGTTCTTTTGATTTTTTTTCAGGGCATTAAGTGATGTTTCCTGTCTTATTACTGATACTGATAGTTGCTAGAGATTTGTCAGTTTTATTGATGTTTTCAATTAACCATTCTTCATTTCATTGATTTTTATCTACTGATTTTCTATTATCAGTTTCTTGAGTTCTGCTCTTCTCTTTATTATAATTTCTTTCCCTTTGTTTTCTTAGGGTTTATTTTGCTATTCATACTTCAAGTTCTTGAGGTACAGCTTAGATTGTTAATTTAATACTTTCTTCTTTTCTTATGTATGTAATTAGTTCTATAAGTCGATTGCCTACAAGGTACTTACCACCAAAACAAACAAAAAACCTATAAAATTCCATTACAACAATAAAAATCATAAAATATAGAGGAATAAATCAGTAGGATGATGTACATTATCTTTAAAGAGTAAATGATAAACCTTATTGAAAGTTGAAAGATCTGAATTCATGGTCAGGGGAACTATGTTCATGTATAGGAAGGCTTAGTCATAA